CATTATTCAAGGTGTCCTCAAAAGGGTAGGTCATATGGCTATCATATCCACACATATACATGGGTCTGTGCATTCACATAGTGAATGTTTCTGTTCAGGCATACATATCTCGTTTCACATGGCATCTGTGGCATGCTAAAAGTTCATCTGGGTTAACGTTCAGCAACACGCTCTGGGTGCACACTCTGTGCCAGGCACTGTTCTAAGAGTTCAGGACCTGGGAACATGCTTAGCATCTTCTGAGGGCCAGAGTGACTCCAGCACCCACCATCTTATCCACTGCATACGACCAGTCTACACGAACCCACTATCTTATCCACTGCATACAACCAGTCTACATGAACACAGTCATTATTACAATACATGAAGATAGTAACCAAATTCTCTCTTAAACTTCTGGTAACAGAGAACCAACCACTATAATGTTTATTTTCGTAGTGGTAGTTTCAGTAATTGTCTTTTTAGTAAGTGCTATAGCAACTCTGAGGATCGTGTGAAGACAGCAGGCAGCTAGTTCCTACACAGATTTCATTTCTCTGATGTAAATCAATGCAGAAATACTCCCATCTCTAATTGTGGGGTTTTAAACAGATAGACATAATTAAGAGCTCCACCGGAAAGACGGACTGTTTCGATGAACTTGAGATTTCATAGTTTTAACCAATTTACATATATCTAACTTAATACCGGGCTTGATTACTAATATTTCATCTTAACATAATTATAAAATGATTTTACAACTTTGTCAATAACTATGTTAAGGCATTAGAAACACCACCTAAAATATGTCATACTTAAAATAGAAAAAGTAAAAATAAAAGTAAACACAGTTTAACCAAATGATTACTCATCTATAAAATAAATACCCACTTAAACCAAAAATAACACGTGGAACACCTAAAGGCAAAGTAAATGTGTGATTGTACTTTGTGTAAGCACACACACACTTCATAAGACAGTCTACATTCTACAGAACTTAAACTTGTATGCACTTGTACGCACTAATATATCTGTAGTTAAAACTCCATTCTCAGAGTGGTTTCTGTTTAATTTCCAAGCTTTTCAAAAGCAAAGAGCAATTTTCTCATTAACTGACTGAAAATTTATTGCTGGCTCTTAAAAAATAATAATTTAGATAATAATATTATAAACTTGTTCTTCCAAAATGGACCATCCCTCTGACTTATATTCACTCATCCTTTTGTGTTAACTTCAGCTGACACTGGTGATGTCAGTACAGCTAGGATTTTCTCTTTAACACATATTTCATTATGTATGGTAAGCAGACTCCCACCCCCAACTGTCCTGAGCTAATAGTTTATCACAAAACCCTTATCAAAAATGGCACAAGTGGGCAAAAACTGTCTAGGGCTAACTGGCAGTTAACAGGACGCAGCAATGAAAGAAACAGAAGGCCATGTTACAACCTAATGCATTTTGTTCATTTATTCTGATGATCATGTTTTTGTTTTAATTATTTATGGTAATTATAGCAGTTAATGTCCTGTAACATTTTTGCAAAAGAAATGAACACTCAGTATAATAATAAAAGCTTCCCAAATCCTTCAATGTTTCATCTGTGCCCAATATACTCAAGCACAACAACCGAACGGCACCATGTTAGTTGATATCCAGAGACTGATACAACTCTTATTAATGGGATACACACGAGAGAAACTTCTCAGTCTTTTACATCAACAGGATCTACAGCAGTGTAGAATAGGTCTGGATTTCTTTAGTCCTGAAAAAAATGTTATCAATTCTGAGTTACTGACCCTAGCCCCCACTTTGGGGTCTGGAGAGGCTATTTAATAAGTAAAGGTTCCCAGGTGAGGAGCCCTGGTGATGCAACAGTTAAGCGCTTGGCTGCTAACAAAAAGGCTGGCAATTCAAACCCACCCAGTGGCTCTGTGGAAGAAAGACCCGGAAATCTGCTTCCATAAAGATTACAGTCAAGACAACCCTACGGGGCAGTTCTACTCTGTCACATGGGACATGAGCTGAAAATCGACTCACCAGCACCTAACAACAACAACAACGGGGTCCCAAGAACTGGAGGAATGAACCAAACACTCAAATCTTCAGTATGCTCTACTACTCCATCCCCACCCTCTAACTCCTACCTACTACTACCCTCTACCTTCCATCCCCCAAAGGGTCCCTAAACTACCTCAGGCTATGGGTCATAAAAGAACCAAACCAAACTCACTACTGTTCAGTCAATTCCGACTCATAACGACCATATAGAACAGGGCAGAACTGCCCCACAGGGTTTCCAAGGAGTGGCTTGTGGATTCGAACAATTAACCTTTTGCTTAGCAGCCGAGCTGTTAACCACTGTGCCACCAGGGCTCCATGGGTCATAAGGAACTGTAATTTTTCTGACTTCCAGAAAATCCCCAAATACAAACAAATCAATAATCACTCAAACCCAAAGAAAATAGCCATTTCAAGCTCGTTTTCGATCATCATGACAATTGTGTCCAATCATTAGCCAACAAAAAAATAAGGCCAGAGGGAATGGAGTAGTAGTTAGCCTTTTTTCATAAAAGAAAATTGTTAATGCCACAATTCACAACTCATTGAAGAACCGTATGTTTTGTGAAAACATTCATAACATTTTCACAAAAAAATAAGGTCTGCAGTGACTTCTACCAGTGGTAAATTCTTTACAAGTATCATCTCGGTGAACCCTGATAAAAACCTATGGAGGTATTCTACACCTGGGATTCTCTTCCTCCACAAAACTGTCTACATGAGTGAAGAAGTTAAGTGTCGGCAGCCTCCAGCTGTGACCATGCCCAGTCCATGAAGAAATGGCCCACAGGATTGGCCCAATCAAAAGCCATACCCCCCAACCCCCAGAAAGGAAGCTTTAGGCCCCACACCTGACCAGTTTAGAGGTCTGGATCTACCAAACCAGTTGTCATCAAGTCAGTTCTGGCTCGTGGTGATCCCGTGTGTCAGAGGAGAATTGTATGTACTCCATAGGGTTTTCAATGGCTGATTTTTTTGGAAGTAAATCAGGCCTTTCTTCCAAGGCACCTCTGGGTGCACTCAAACCTCCTACCTTTCCATTAGCAGCCAAGCACATTAACCATTTGCACCTCCCAGGGGCTCCAGAATGACCATGAGGAATCATTCTCACACCCAAGAGGAAATAAATCTCATTCCTTGGACAACCCTAGGACTCCGAATAAAAAAATACAAGATCGTTTTAAAGAATATATCAAAGTATTTCAAACTACTTTCACACAGACTTTCATCTAGCTGCACAACACATAAGACCCAGGTCAACTTAAGTGCTATTAGCCCGATGTGTTAATTAAGATCTAAGTAGAGAGCTAAACCTACAATTCTGAAGTTCTAATTCCTAATCCAGTCCTCTTAAGCATGGTAAGATTAGAAAGCACCACCCTATACCATGGTTCTGGTAAATGCAATCAGTCAACTAGAGTGCCTTATGTACAAAATGATGTATTCCTCAAGGCAACACTAAAAGTTTCTAGGCATTCCTCTGATCAGCACTGTAACAGGATTCTACCGCATTTTGTGGCAATCTCGTAATGGCGTAAGGAAGGTTCGGGGTTTCAAACCTAAATTTATTTGGTAAATCTCTCTTCCTTTACTCCCTCAATTAAATGGAGAAGGAGGAACATTAATTATAAAAACTACACTATAAGTGAAAGATAGGATACTACTTCCTGTGTTGTTTCTGGGAAAGCTAATGATTATATCTGAAAGGTCTAAGATATAGGGCAGCACAGCTCACAGGCACGGGAAAATACAAGTCATTAGCTATTAATAGAGCCAGAGAGTCAATTGTTGTAATTAAATCATAGTTTAATCTTCTGTATAATCCTGAGTTAGTCTTGACATACATGCTTCCTTGTAGTCAGTTTTGGAAAAACATCTGCTAATGGTAACATTTTTTTTGTCCTGAAGGGTTAAAACTGCATGCTTCTGGTTGGAAATGAAAATTAGCAAGAAACTACTTTTTACAAAAACACTGCATTAATAAAGGCCCAATCACTGACTCTTGGTTTTTGATTTTGTTTTTAAAGTTAAAAGAGCCTTAAACACAGAAACAAACCAAATTTACGAAAGCTACTGCAAATTGAATTAACAAAATATTTTAACCCAAAGTTCCCATACACTTACGCCAGACATACAGAGTAGAAATATAATTTTCCCCAATTAGGAAGGAAATACATAAATAACACATATTTGCAAACTAAAAGTGTCCCCTTTTTAGACGAAGCTAACACTAAGTGATAACAATGCCACCAAAACACCTTTAACAAGTAAAAGGCTGGGTCAAGCCAGTCCCTAGGGGTCCACTGACCACTCCTCACAGTCCCTCCCAAAAAACATCTTCTTTAAAAAAAAATAGATTCTTTATTATTATCTCCTAAATATAGAGAAAATATCTAAGTGTCAAGTGCAAACCGGGCGAAAAAAAAAAATGTTGTCATCACATCTATTCCGACTCATGGTGACCCCATGTGTATCAGAGCAGAACTGTGCTCTGGAGGGTTTTCAATGACTTAATTTTCAAAAGTAGATGGCCAAACCTTCTAGGCCCCTCTGGGTGGACTCAAACCTCCAAACTTTTGGTTAGCAGCCAAGCACATTAATCATTTGCACCACCCAGGGACTCCCCAAACCAGAAAATGGAAGCTGCAAGACAAGTAACAAGAAATGAGTTAAACCCATTATGGTTGGATAGTATAGTTTAGGGTGGGAAAACAAAGAGGGTACCTTTCCTTCTCCAAGGCAGGGGTTTTGGATCCCATTCTCAGGCTTAGTGAAGTCCTGGGAACGGCCCTGAGTGCTGGAGGGGAGTCCAGCCCACCTGAGAGGCCCCAGGTAACAGATCTTCCCAGCCTTACCGGCCCCTACTCTTTTCTGTAAGTTAGGGGTACTCAGAGAGCCCGGGCGTCTCTGCTCTAACATGGCAATAAATAATATGACCACAAAGAACATGTATAAGACAGTACCTGATGCTGTTAACAATTTGCTGAACAAATATGCCAAGTTCTGGAGATTCATATGTCTTGTTAACCAGGTGCTATCTCTGGGTAGAGGGATTATGGGGAATTTTTATGTCTTTAAACTTTTTTATATTGTTTGGACATTTTTATAGTAAGCACCTATCATTTTTCCTGTTAGGGGAAAGAAAAAATTAAGCGTTATCTTTTTATTATTTTTTTTTAATTCAATGTGGTTTCAAAGAAGGTTGATATATAAGTTTATCATCTTTAACCAGGTTGGTGGCTTTCAAACAGACCTACTGAGCTCCAGGTCATTAAAAAAAAAAAAGGAAAGAAAGAAGCGCTACAATGACTACAGCAAAACTATCTATCACGTGCCTTAGAAAGGTAAGCTTGGTAAAAGTTAAGTATCTAATTCTTTCTACCCAGCAGAAAAATCTGAAATGGTATTAGGTCTAACTTCAATTTTCAGGAGAACTAAAACTACCTGTGCATTAAATATTCACCTGTGGAATGATAATAATTACAATGAGAGGCTGCTTTGTGATGATTAAAAATCACCATACTCTACAGCGTCGCTATAAGTCGGAATCAACTTGATAACAGTGAGTTTTATACTGTTTAAGTTTGGTGTGAGAGACTATCATCAAACCAAACCAAATCCATTGCCATCGAGTCGATTCCAAATCATAGTGACCCTATATGAAACAGTAGAACTGCCGCATAGGATTTCCAAGGAGCAGCTAGTGGATTTGAACTGCCGACCTTCTGGTTAGCAGCCGTAGCTCTTAAGCACTACGCCACCAGGGCTCTCATTTTCTTCATGCTACCATATATTTCACATCACAGCTCTGCCTTTCAGGCACCAGCATCTGTGACTCCCAATTAAATCCCCACTGCCTGAAGGCAGAAACCTCCTCATATTTTGTTGAGCATTTTGTACATAACAGCATTCAATAAATTAATGACTGATGGCTAGTATCCACATCCTAAATTTTAAAACAGCTATAGTTTTGACTGAAAAATCAAAAAGAACTCAGAGGCAAAGAGCAAGCTCAAAGGAGTCTCCTCACATTTACAGCACACAACAGATTATACAACAGGAGGAAATGGGGTTCACACCCAATGGATCGTGTTTATAAGTCATCTACTATAAAATGCAAGTAAATTTAAAAATTTAAAACTCTTTTTTGTGTATAAAGACATTTCAACTGCAGGTCCAAGGCTAGATGAGAAAGTTAAACGGTGAACAATTTTATTTCCTAACAAAAATTAATCCTGAGAGAGATTTTCCCCAAAATTGCAGATTACCTACAGTCATATTTTTTGATGATACAGGAAAAAGAGTACTTTTAAAAAGACAGAAAACCAGCCAAAATAGAATTATTGGTCTTTTACTGTTTTCTTCCTATTAGGAAAAAAGTAATCTTGACTCTGTGACCCTTTCATTTTACTTCTAGGAATACACCTTAAAGAAATATTCTCACAAGGGTATAACTGTACAAGAGCACTCTCTGTCGCATCATTTGTAATCGTTCAGTGTTAGAATCAATTCAAATATTCCTTAATCAGAAATGTGGTTAAATAAACGATGTTATATCCACATATTATCAAAATATGCATAATGTAAAATGGTGGAAAGGCAAAAAGATGTCTACGATATATTAGGCAAGAAAAACAAGTTACAAAAGAATATGTATAATATTACACCATTTTAAAACTTCATTTAGAAGAATATACCCCAGATCTGTTCATCTCTGAGAAGCAGGATTTCAGAGGATTTGGCCTTTCACTTTCTGCACTAAACACTTCAATATTTTTTAATCTCTTACAAGTAGTACTTCAGATTCAGAAAAATGAGGGGGAGGAGGGGAAACAGAACTATCCCATCCCCCTAAAATGTGATGTTATCCTTTACTTGGAAATAAAGCAGATCCATTTGTAGCTGTACCTCATCTATTAAAAAACACCATTTGCAACAAGATTTAAAAATAGTCCTTATTCATGCAGTCTAGTAAACTCCTTATGAATTTAAAGGAAAATCCTACAAACAGGATACTTTTTACCATTTTACCATCCTACAAAATTAGGAGTTCTCAATACATATTTACAAAAGTCACCTAAATTATACAAACATACCCTCCCGGAGAAAACTATTTATGCAATTTCTTGTGAGACTGCAGTCCTAAATAAGGATGCTGGAGTCCAAAATCACCAGAAATGCTAAAATAAAAATATACTGATTCATACTGACTGGTTAAAAAGGGTTTCCAATCCAATCGCAAATTGTCTCAGCACTCTCAAGATTTCCGCCAGTGGGTCCCAACTTTTTTATTCTCAAAAAAAGAAGCCATGATTCAAAATGGAAGTACAATAATTGCTCACAGTGAAGTCTGTAAACTGGTACAGTCTCTGCGCATCAACTCAGGTATATGTAAGCAAGACAGTCCCTCCCAGGGGTAGACAGCCCCCTGTCAAGTAACTCTCTGCTAAAACTTGTCCAGTGCTACCTGGAGAAGAGAGCTGTGCGAGAGTATTTCAAGCCCCGGCAGATACTACTTTGTGCAAAACCATTCAC